CTGTACGTGGAGGGAGACTAGGGTGGTCGGTGTGTGGACATAGTACTGTACGTGGAGGGAGACTAGGGTTGTCGTTGTGTGGACATAGTACTGTACGTGGAGGGAGACTAGGGTGGTCGGTGTGTGGACATAGTACTGTACATGGAGGGAGACTAGAGTGGTCGGTGTGTGGACATAGTACTGTACATGGAGGGAGACTAGGGTGGTCAGTGTGTGGACATAGTACTGTACGTGGAGGGAGACTAGGGTGGTCAGTGTGTGGACATAGTACTGTACATGGAGGGAGACTAGGATGGTCGGTGTGTGGACATAGTACTGTACATGGAGGGAGACTAGAGTGGTCAGTGTGTGGACATAGTACTGTACATGGAGGGAGACTAGAGTGGTCAGTGTGTGGACATAGTACTGTACATGGAGGGAGACTAGGGTGGTCAGTGTGTGGACATAGTACTGTACGTGGAGGGAGACTAGGGTGGTCAGTGTGTGGACATAGTACTGTACATGGAGGGAGACTAGAGTGGTCAGTGTGTGGACATAGTACTGTACATGGAGGGAGACTAGGGTGGTCAGTGTGTGGACATAGTACTGTACGTGGAGGGAGACTAGGGTGGTCAGTGTGTGGACATAGTACTGTACATGGAGGGAGACTAGGGTGGTCAGTGTGTGGACATAGTACTGTATATAGAGGGAGACTAGGGTGGTCAGTGTGTGGACATAGTACTGTACATGGAGGGAGACTAGAGTGGTCGGTGTGTGGACATAGTACTGTACATGGAGGGAGACTAGGGTGGTCAGTGTGTGGACATAGTACTGTACATGGAGGGAGACTAGGGTGGTCGGTGTGTGGACATAGTACTGTACGTGGAGGGAGACTAGGGTGGTCAGTGTGTGGACATAGTACTGTACATGGAGGGAGACTAGGGTGGTCAGTGTGTGGACATAGTACTGTACGTGGAGGGAGACTAGAGTGGTCGGTGTGTGGACATAGTACTGTACGTGGAGGGAGACTAGGGTGGTCAGTGTGTGGACATAGTACTGTACGTGGAGGGAGACTAGAGTGGTCGGTGTGTGGACATAGTACTGTACATGGAGGGAGACTAGGGTGGTCAGTGTGTGGACATAGTACTGTACGTGGAGGGAGACTAGAGTGGTCGGTGTGTGGACATAGTACTGTACGTGGAGGGAGACTAGGGTGGTCAGTGTGTGGACATAGTACTGTACGTGGAGGGAGACTAGGGTGGTCAGTGTGTGGACATAGTACTGTACATGGAGGAAGACTAGGATGGTCGGTGTGTGGACATAGTACTGTACATGGAGGGAGACTAGGGTGGTCAGTGTGTGGACATAGTACTGTACATGGAGGGAGACTAGGGTGGTCAGTGTGTGGACATAGTACTGTACATGGAGGGAGACTAGGGTGGTCGGTGTGTGGACATAGTACTGTACGTGGAGGGAGACTAGGGTGGTCAGTGTGTGGACATAGTACTGTACATGGAGGGAGACTAGGATGGTCGGTGTGTGGACATAGTACTGTACATGGAGGGAGACTAGAGTGGTCGGTGTGTGGACATAGTACTGTACATGGAGGGAGACTAGGATGGTCGGTGTGTGGACATAGTACTGTACATGGAGGGAGACTAGAGTGGTCAGTGTGTGGACATAGTACTGTACATGGAGGGAGACTAGGGTGGTCAGTGTGTGGACATAGTACTGTACATGGAGGGAGACTAGAGTGGTCAGTGTGTGGACATAGTACTGTACATGGAGGGAGACTAGAGTGGTCAGTGTGTGGACATAGTACTGTACATGGAGGGAGACTAGAGTGGTCAGTGTGTGGACATAGTACTGTACATGGAGGGAGACTAGAGTGGTCAGTGTGTGGACATAGTACTGTACATGGAGGGAGACTAGAGTGGTCAGTGTGTGGACATAGTACTGTACATGGAGGGAGACTAGAGTGGTCAGTGTGTGGACATAGTACTGTACATGGAGGGAGACTAGAGTGGTCAGTGTGTGGACATAGTACTGTACATGGAGGGAGACTAGAGTGGTCAGTGTGTGGACATAGTACTGTACATGGAGGGAGACTAGGGTGGTCAGTGTGTGGACATAGTACTGTACATGGAGGGAGACTAGAGTGGTCAGTGTGTGGACATAGTACTGTACATGGAGGGAGACTAGGGTGGTCAGTGTGTGGACATAGTACTGTACATGGAGGGAGACTAGGGTGGTCAGTGTGTGGACATAGTACTGTACATGGAGGGAGACTAGGGTGGTCGGTGTGTGGACATAGTACTGTACATGGAGGGAGACTAGGGTGGTCAGTGTGTGGACATAGTACTGTACGTGGAGGGAGACTAGGATGGTCAGTGTGTGGACATAGTACTGTACGTAGAGGGAGACTAGGGTGGTCGGTGTGTGGACATAGTACTGTACATGGAGGGAGACTAGGGTGGTCGGTGTGTGGACATAGTACTGTACATGGAGGGAGACTAGGGTGGTCAGTGTGTGGACATAGTACTGTACGTAGAGGGAGACTAGGGTGGTCAGTGTGTGGACATAGTACTGTACATGGAGGGAGACTAGGGTGGTCAGTGTGTGGACATAGTACTGTACATGGAGGGAGACTAGGGTGGTCGGTGTGTGGACATAGTACTGTACATGGAGGGAGACTAGGGTGGTCAGTGTGTGGACATAGTACTGTACGTAGAGGGAGACTAGGGTGGTCGGTGTGTGGACATAGTACTGTACATGGAGGGAGACTAGGATGGTCAGTGTGTGGACATAGTACTGTACATGGAGGGAGACTAGAGTGGTCGGTGTGTGGACATAGTACTGTACATGGAGGGAGACTAGGATGGTCAGTGTGTGGACATAGTACTGTACATGGAGGGAGACTAGAGTGGTCAGTGTGTGGACATAGTACTGTACATGGAGGGAGACTAGGATGGTCGGTGTGTGGACATAGTACTGTACGTAGAGGGAGACTAGGATGGTCAGTGTGTGGACATAGTACTGTACATGGAGGGAGACTAGGGTGGTCGGTGTGTGGACATAGTACTGTACGTAGAGGGAGACTAGGATGGTCAGTGTGTGGACATAGTACTGTACATGGAGGGAGACTAGAGTGGTCAGTGTGTGGACATAGTACTGTACGTAGAGGGAGACTAGGATGGTCAGTGTGTGGACATAGTACTGTACATGGAGGGAGACTAGGGTGGTCAGTGTGTGGACATAGTACTGTACGTGGAGGGAGACTAGGATGGTCGGTGTGTGGACATAGTACTGTACATGGAGGGAGACTAGAGTGGTCGGTGTGTGGACATAGTACTGTACATGGAGGGAGACTAGAGTGGTCAGTGTGTGGACATAGTACTGTACATGGAGGGAGACTAGAGTGGTCGGTGTGTGGACATAGTACTGTACATGGAGGGAGACTAGGGTGGTCAGTGTGTGGACATAGTACTGTACATGGAGGGAGACTAGGGTGGTCAGTGTGTGGACATAGTACTGTACGTGGAGGGAGACTAGGGTGGTCAGTGTGTGGACATAGTACTGTACATGGAGGGAGACTAGGGTGGTCGGTGTGTGGACATAGTACTGTACATGGAGGGAGACTAGGATGGTCAGTGTGTGGACATAGTACTGTACGTGGAGGGAGACTAGGGTGGTCGGTGTGTGGACATAGTACTGTACGTGGAGGGAGACTAGGGTGGTCAGTGTGTGGACATAGTACTGTACATGGAGGGAGACTAGGGTGGTCGGTGTGTGGACATAGTACTGTACATGGAGGGAGACTAGGGTGGTCAGTGTGTGGACATAGTACTGTACATGGAGGGAGACTAGGGTGGTCGGTGTGTGGACATAGTACTGTACGTGGAGGGAGACTAGGGTGGTCAGTGTGTGGACATAGTACTGTACATGGAGGGAGACTAGGGTGGTCAGTGTGTGGACATAGTACTGTACGTGGAGGGAGACTAGGATGGTCGGTGTGTGGACATAGTACTGTACATGGAGGGAGACTAGAGTGGTCGGTGTGTGGACATAGTACTGTACATGGAGGGAGACTAGGGTGGTCAGTGTGTGGACATAGTACTGTACGTGGAGGGAGACTAGGATGGTCGGTGTGTGGACATAGTACTGTACATGGAGGGAGACTAGGGTGGTCAGTGTGTGGACATAGTACTGTACGTGGAGGGAGACTAGGATGGTCGGTGTGTGGACATAGTACTGTACATGGAGGGAGACTAGAGTGGTCGGTGTGTGGACATAGTACTGTACGTGGAGGGAGACTAGAGTGGTCATGGGTGTGTGTTCGGGTGGGCTAGCTGAAATCATGTTCCACATATTAGGGGCATTTGTAAAATATCTAATCAGATCTTTGTGCTGGTTACTGCGAAAATAAAATCTGAGGACATCCCATTACAGGTCACGTCAAAACGACCTTTCGCTAACTTTGATCGACCAATGTAATGACTTTCACTAAGTTGATTATTAGCTAATCAGAAAGCAGCTGTCTCGAGCTTTACGGCACTAGTTTCAAACTGGCGACTTTTATTCCAGACAACACATTGAGAAATATTGATTCCAACTGAAAACTGAACCAAATATAAATCTGGAATGTCTAATAGATGGCGCGATTGTATGGCAGTACTTCCCACAGGCAATGGGAAGTCTTTCCGTTTCATATGTTTATCCTATTGGAGTTAGAGAATGAGTCGCACCGCTTCTAACGGTCGTTCGGAATGCCTCGAGTTATCCTGTTCGAGGTTGCATCATTTAAAAACCACATTCCAACTGTCACGTTCCCGATCTGGTAAGCGACGCTCTGATTGGTCGGATGAAAGGTCGTTCCTGCTTGATCCGTAATGGGATGTCTTCAGATCTTTGTGTAGCGGTGGCCAGCACAAGCCAGCGGACCTGATTTTAATGAGTTTGGCAAAATATCGTATTTGTACATGTAAGGGTGATACACATTACTGATTGATGGTCTGTTTCAGAGAGAAGAAGTATGAAGGATTGTTCAAGTCAGACATCGGTCGTCCCCCTGGGGCCCAGCAAAACGACAAGTCAGGGGTGCTGAAAAGGTCAAGCCTTCCCCAGTCCCAGGCTTCGCCCCAACACAGGTGGTTCTGTACCCAACGACCTAGTCATATTGCTGAAATGCAACAGTCACGCCGCAGGTGCAACCCAGGTCCTTCAAACTTCCGGAAACAGATGTCAGAAGATCTAGACATGCTGTATTTACCTGCCCTTGATTCCTTCCAGGAGGAGCCATGTGTACCAGCAGCAGATGTCACTATGAAGAAAGACGTTGAGTGTCAAACAGAGCCTGACAGCGGGTGTGGTTTACGACACCGGGCTGCGGGTGATAGTTCTGATAATGCCAGTCATAAAAAGGTCCTGGCGTGTTCCCCTCGTTGTTACTCCCCCGTGGTGCATCACTTCCAGAACAACCCCCAGGTTCATGAACGCTGGCCCTTGTTGGGGCTCTACTCTGACGAAGAGGGGGACGCTGAAGGGGGAGGGGACAAAGAGGAAGCGGAGATGGAGAAAGACAGCGACTCCGACCTCAGTTACCTTGAAGACATGCAGGGTCTTGAAGCTGCAGTGCATGGTGTAGACTACAAACACAAGAAAGACTCTCCTGTCAAAAGTTTGATGTCAACAACCCCATCAGAAATCCATTCCCTGTCCCCCTTGTGCACCCCTCGTGATAGGATCCCTCCTTCCTGCATCTCCCCCGGGTCCCCCCTCCAGCCTGCTCCACTCTCCGCCAACGGTCTCCCCAGCCTCTCTGCCCCCTGTGCCTCCAGCGTACCTCGCCCTGGCTTCAGCGCCTTCAGCAGTCAGGATTCCATCTCCGGCGATGGGACATTCCACAGCCTCCTCAGCCTCACCGGCAGCATAGCGTCCGCCCGCACCCCCGAGGAGGTGTCTGTGTTCTCGCTGTCCCCACTGGACACAGAAGAGAAACGCATGCTAGACTTCCAGCAGTATCTCCAGACCAGGGGCCTCAAATTAGACATGTCGTCAGTGCAGACGAGCGACTTATGACATCACATGAAATAGGTCTTGCCTGTCAACACACACACACTTCATCCTCGTTATGACACCACATGAACTAGGTCTTGTCTGTCAACACATAAACATCATCTTCGGTATGACACCACATGAACTAGGTCGTGTCTGTCAACACATAAACTTCATCCTCGTTATGACACCACATGAACTAGGTCTTGTCTGTCAACACACACACACACACTTCTTCCTCGTTATAACATCACATGAACTAGGTCTTGTCTGTCAACACATAAACTTCATCCTCGTTATAACACCACATGAACTAGGTCTTGTCTGTCAACTCACACACACACACACACACACACACACACACACACACACACACACACACACACACACACACACACACACACACACACACACACACACACTTCATCCTCGTTACGACACCACATGAACTAGGCCTTGTCTGTCAACACACACACTTTATCCTCGTTATAACACCACATGAACTAGGTCTTGTCTGTCAACACACACACTTTATCCTCGTTATAACACCACATGAACTAGTTTTTTTCTGTCAACACATAAACTTCATCCTCGTTATATCACCACATAAACTAGGTCTTGTCTGTCAACACACACACACACACACACACTTCTTCCTCGTTATAACACCACATGAACTAGGTCTTTTCTGTCAACACATAAACTTCACCCTCGTTATAACACCGCATGAACTAGGTCTTGCCTGTCAACACATAAATTTCATCCTGGTTATAACACCACATTAATTAGGTCTTGTCTGTCAACACATAAACTTCATCCTCGTTATAACACCACATAAACTAGGTATTGTCTGTCAACACATAAACTTCATCCTCGTTATAACACCACATGAACTAGGTCTTGTCTGTCAACACATAAACTTCATCCTCGTTATAACACCACATGAACTAGGTCTTGTCTGTCAACACACACACTTCATCCTCGCCATGACACCACATGAACTAGGTCTTGTCTGTCGACACATAAACTTCATCCTCGCTATGAATTCACATGAACTAGGTCTTGTCTGTCAACACATAAACTTCATCCTCGCTATGAATTCACATGAACTAGGTTTTGTATGTCAACACATAAACTTCATCCATGTAATGACATCATACAAACTAGGTTTATTTGTCAGCATTTCTCATTTTTTTATATGTCACTCATTTAACGTCAACACTACACACACAAAATACAATACATGTACACCACCACACACCACCACACGCACCAACACACACACAACAGCAACAACAGCAACACACACACACACACACACACACACACACACACACACACACACACACACACACACACACACACACACACACACACACACACACACACACACACACACACACACACACACACACACAAACACACACAAACACACACATAGCTCACCCTTTCCTCACATGCCCGACACTCAAGCAGGGCGATGCAACATTTATCAGTATGCTCTCAATATTGTCTTGACAACGCGTTTATGGCTACGTCATCACAACGCACGCGTGACTGTCTCGGTGGTGTGTCCAAAACAGTGTTCGTGTAAGGACAACGGTTAAACTGACGCCGAAACGTGCAACGTGTACGTGTAATCTATATATGCCGTAAACTCTCAAGTGACATTTTACTAATTCATGAGTCGTCGGATGTTGTGTCGTATATCCCAAGGGTGTCTTCCATTCTTTGCAGTGTTCCACTGAATAGAATGGTAGCGATAGTTATGTTTAACTCTGGCATTGGGTTGGTTTTCAGGAGACAAAGAGGCGTCTTCTAGAGGAACATTGTCTCATATCTGTTAATTGACAATACGCTAGTTGCAGTTATCGGAAAACTAGTTTTTAGATAAAGACATCGTCGTAGATGTAGACCAAGACAGTAGATAATGTCGGGGTTGTAGCCGATGTAGAATATACATGGGGCAGCAGCGGCAGGTGGTGCAGCAGCTGCAGCATTCAAGCATAGATATATCATCAGTCTCAACTGAGAAAGTATTAAGTTAGAAGGTCCCGAGTGGAGACTATGGTTTGTTGTGACCTTGAGTGTTATGTAAATCTACATTCATCCTGTACATAAAATGTCCAGTCCGCAGATGACGTCATATGACACGTGCAGTCCACGTATGACGTCACATGTTCCGTGCAGTCCATATCTGACGTTATCGGATCATTTTTGTCCACAAATGACATCTTGCCAATCATTATTCCTGTCACTTTCGTCATGCTAGTATCACACAGACATCACCATGACAACGCCATAACGCTGTCGTATGTGTTCATGTGACCTCACTCAGACACTGTCAAAGTCTACTGTGTATCAATTTGTTCGTCTTCGTGTGTTCTGTGTCAATTGAAACGTATTAAAGATAGGTATTTTACTTCAAATTATATTTACATTGTGATGTTTTCTCAGACAGGTAATCATACGGGCAGATTACTTGCCATGGCAGCTATTTTAGTTACTCTCAGATTTCGACCAAAGTGTATCATTGAACATATCGGACAACATCGATTTTTGTGATATTTGATTCCCCTAAACGTCAACAAAAAAAATCATACAAATAACGCTCTCATCTTTCGTTATAGATATTCAGTCTGCCTCAGTAGAAATACATGAACTCGACAATACTATGCTGTATCATGGCTTTAGTAATATAATAGGTATGAGGTAGCCTAGTGGTTAAAGCGTTCGCTCGTCACTCGGGGTACCCGGGTCCGATATCTCACATAGGTACAGAATGTGAAGAACATTTATGGTGTTCCCCTCCATGATATTGCTTGATACAGCCTTTGATGTTTATATTTCACAACTTTTGAGATACAATCGAGCATGCTCTTTCTACCAAGATGTCAAAGAGCGTCATACGACTCTTGCACAGAAGTTGTTTGATCAAGGTAACAACATTCAAGGCCTGAGTAAAGCTTTCAAAAAGTTTAATGGTAGACATGTTGAGGACGTTTCCAAATTTGATGTCCGATGCAACTCCCTATTCTGACTTGTATCATATGTTGCCGTGTTTTTTTCAGGTGAACAATTGACTTGCCTGTGCACGTGTTTTTGACGGGTGACACCGGGGACCAGGATTTGCTCACCTTTTCGCGAACACCTGGTATAATCAATATTTGATAGTGATTCATAGACACATGCTTATGATAAAGTAGGAATCGTACACGCGCCTGTGTTTATGCAGAGATTTCAGTTGGATAAGGAAAGGGTTTTGTCGCTTTATTTATTGAACAGTATTAAGTATTAAGGCGTAAAATCATCCCCAATCAAGTATAAATATGATACTGAAACTTAAAACTGTTTAATCTACACACACTGCTTGTTGCATTCTGAAATGTACCATGTAGACTTTATACGTTCTATTCACATTTCGCCAGGAGCAAGTTTATATCGCAGAAATTAAAATTGGTGAACTGCGTTAAAACAGGGCTCGGTCGGGCACATTGGACGCCCTAACAAGTGGATTCAATTCCCACAACCTACTCTTTGAGTGAGTGAGTGAGCATGATTTTACGCCGCTTTTAGCAATATTCCAGCAATATCAGGGCAGGGGACCCCAGAAATGTATTTCACACATTGTACCCATGTTGGGATCTAACCCCTGCCTTCAGCTTGACGAGCGAACGCTTTAACCACTTGGCTACCCTCTTTGAGTGTTAATTGAACTTTTAGGATAAAAGGAACCGGACAAGAGACAGTACATACTCATGATAAAATGAAACAAACAAGATATGGTAATTCGATGGAGAAGTATTTCATACGGGTATCATATTTGTGTTTTAGACGTCGAATTTTGCAGTGTTGCGGCGACTGTTTTCAGCCGAGTAACGATTTTTAACGTTCGTATTTTTTTCAAATCCAATTTTGAAGTGTGTACTGTCTTTTGCCTAGCAGTTTCTAATGAAAGGCCCAAGAACTGCAAAACCACCAGATGTATTGATCGCTACACGATGTATCGTGTTTTTTAAGGTGAGCTTCAGAAATGTCTACACTCTTTTGTGGAATGTGTATGTCTTGTTTGTATTGTTAAATGGCAACTACCATGACAAAGGCGTATTTCATATGCAGAAATAATATTTGACCTGTACTGCACCTCCAGTGGCTGTGAACGCGTCTTTTGTACACGTTAATCTATCACGATATTCGCGGCCATGTTTCGTATACGATCATTGTTATTGGACGTGCCACTGTTTTTCATGTCTATTAAAACTTGATAATAAAAATGTGGACACACTATATTTATTTCCAATCAAGTGTGACCCGTCTAGGTCATATAATGAGTTTAAGTCAAATAAAGAAACTTTAATATTGTTCACAGGGTGTTGATGGACTTTGTACTACTTATCGGAACACGAATTTATTAGGAACACATATCTCATCCTCCAGGCTATGGCTACCACCACGAGCTCAGCTGCTATTTTTTTTTTAGTTGAGCATGCATGTAACGGCATGACCATTTATGATATTCAACAGCACTTTTTCAGTCCTTTTATCTGTATGTTTCATGTCAAAATTGGTCAGACGAATTTGTATCGATTAGGATAACTCACCAACCTACCTGTATGCACGCTTCGGACGTAGCGTAGGTTTGCTTTCAGTGCGTTTTACAACATGTTTATGGGTAACTTATAGGAGATTTGTGTTTACAACAATCAAGATATCAGAGCGTCATACATCAAAAGTTTTTTTCATCAAGGTTACAGCATTCAAGGTCTCAGTGAAACTTTCAAAACGTTTAATGTTGAATTGCATTTTGACACATCAGTGACAAAAATGAAGTCAGATGCAATTCCCTATTTTCACTTGTAGATCATGTACCCGTGATTTTCAGGTGAACAATTGACTTGCCTTTGCATGTGTTTGTGACTGGTGCCACCGGTAGGACAGGATGCGCTCACCTATACGCGAACACCTGATATCCACACTATTTGATGGTGATTCAACACATGCTCATGATGTAGTCGGAAACGTACAATGGACCCTGCTTTTAGCAGATATGTCTTGTGTTTGTTTCTATTTATCGCCGCACTCGGCAATATTCCAGCTATATGACGGCGGTCTGTAAATCATCGAGTCTGGGCCAGGCAATCGAAAGATTGACATCATGAGCATCGATCTACGCAGTGGGGATACGATGACATGCATCAACTAAATCAGTGAGCATGACCACCCGATCCCGTTAGTCGCCTCTACGACAGGCATAGTCTTTTACGACAGTCTTTTACGACAAAGATATATGAAAAGGGTTTTGTCACTTTTATTAATACCACAATGGGTGATAAACCGGAGGCATGATCTATCACACACACATACATACACGCACGCACGCACGCACGCACGCACGCACGCACGCACGCACGCACGCACGCACGCACGAACACACGCACATATATATATATATATATATATATATATATATATATATATTATTGCTCACGAAGCTGCTGTAAGGTATTCGTAATGTCGGTTACAAGACTGCAGTGATATATGTGTAATATCGCTGACAAGACTGCAGTGATATATATGTAATATTGCTGACAAGACTGCAGTGATATATATGTAATATTGCTGACAAGGCTGCAGTGATATATATGTAATATTGCTGACAAGGCTGCAGTGATATATATGTAATATTGCTGACAAGGCTGCAGTGATATATATGTAATATTGCTGACAAGGCCGCAGTGATATATATGTAATATTGCTGACAAGGCTGCAGTGATATATATGTAATATTGCTGACAAGGCTGCAGTGACATGGGGGCAGAATGATAAGTTCTAAGCCTAAGACATGACCTTAAGCCATTACAATGATCCACATTAATACAACTTTGTAAATAATGTTGGAGGGATTTTATCCCAGTTTCGAAAAAGTCCTTCACCACAGCTGCTATGACGTCATCGTCCGAGTCAAAATAGCCATATCTTTTTGCGCTGGTGGGACAGTAATTGCCTTCTTTGGTGGTGGTGAACACAGATTTCATCCATAGTCACAAATCGTTGCAAGAACCTCTATAGATCAGTTTCAAGCAGAGCTAGATTATCAGCAGACATGTTATGACTGGTACGGTGTTTTTTATCAGAAGCTTTGGACTCCAACAACTTCTACTTTCTTAATTGCCAAAGTTTCTATGATATTGGAATGTACTCGTTTCTGGGCGCTGCCCGCTGAACTAACAATAGGACGCTCATTCATTCGCCGGTCGGTCATCACCATATCGTTGGTTTTCTGGACCA